CGGGTGCTAACGGGTGGTGGTGGCTGCTTTAAGTCCCAGTCCTCAAAATAGTGCGAATCCTCTCTCCCCAGCGTCCAGTCAGTGACCAGGAGCCACCTTGGGGTAGGGATGGAGGAGTCCTTCCCATAGGCTCCTGCCGAGCCCTCCTTCCTCCCAGGGACCCAGCTCTCCTTCCATCAGTGGGTTTTGGGTTTGGAAACTGGGTTAGGTCTGGAACCTGGGCAAAGGATCCGACATGTCATTGGGGTGGCTACCCTCAGCGTCTGGACTCAGCGATCCTCAGGGCCTCCGGAGAGGACATGCAGAGGGCTGTGCTTGCACCCGTCCGTCTGTTTTCCCGCTAGAAGCACCATGTACTGTCACCTTCACCGCTCGCAGTGGTCCTGCTGCCATTCCGACCTCCATGTGTTCCCAGGGATTGACCTGACCTTGCTTCCGACGGCTCTGTGTACTCACCTGGCCGCTTGTTTCTGTGTCCTGTGACCCCCCGAGCCAGTAGCCCACCCGGTTCTGCCAGGGCCCCACTGCATCATCCCCGGCCTGGAGAGGGCCGCCCATCTCTGTGCTCTTGGGGTGCTGGTGCTTGGGAAATGGGAGTGTCCCCTGGGCCTCCTGGGAGCACTGTCACCTGCAGGGTTCTCACCTCACCCACCATCCTCCCGCCCGCCCGTGCCCACCTGTCGGAATGGTGATCCCACTTCTCCCTCTCATGGCACCGCCTCTCCACTCCGAGTGGGCGACACCCTGTCCACCCTCCAGAGCCTCATCCTCCGTGTGTGAGCTGCGCCCCCTGCTGACGGTCCCCACGACGGCAGCATCGTCTGCTGGAGCTGCCGACACAAGATCCCACAGCCTGGGCTCCAACGCCGGACGTGTATTTGTCCGACTCTGGAGGCTGGAAGCGCCCAGGGCTGGGGACAGGGTCGGGGCGGCCTGTGTGGCCCCCTCAGAGCCCCGGCTCTCCCCGACTAGGGGGCTGGCATTGGCTGCACAGGGAGGCTGCCGAGGAGGAGCGGAACTTTCTGGAAGGCTTGGGTGGGCCCGGCCTCAGGAGGCTGTTTCGGCTTCTGGATCCTGTGACCTCTGTCACTAGCAGCACATTGTTGTCAGGAACAAGCTGGCGGGAGACGTGTTTTTCCCGCTCCAGTGAGATGCCCCTCAGATGTCGCGCATTGGAGTCAAAGCTCCGGAAAAAGAACGCAGGGTGCCGGCAGCTCCCTGGTGGCAAAGGGAACGTGTTCCCAGTGTCACACATGGGTTCTCTGGCCTGTGACTCCTGACCTGGCCACCGCTGCACACGACGGTGCCGGCATTTGATCCAGGCGATCTAGAAAAAGGAACGTCCTGAACGTTCTTTGTGGGTCTGTAGGAGGTTGCGGATGGGCACCCCTGCACCGTGTCCCAGTGAATCCTTGTGAACTCAGTGTTGTGCGTCCTCTGGAGCAGCTGGAACAGGCCTGGAGGCTTAGGCTGTTTGATGGTCAGCATGCCTGGGGGCTGACCCAGTGCCAATGACCTCCCTGGCCGGCAGCCTCGAGCCTGGATTCCTCCTGCCTCCAACCTTCCATAGCACCCAGTGTCTCCCCTCCAGACCCTGATCCTCTGCCTGAGTCCTAGACCCTTTCAGAAGTGGCTCCACTCCGCCTTTCTGGCCTCACCTCCCACTCCCTTTGACTACATTCCTTCTAGCAGCTGCCGGTAGCCCCCATGGCTCCCCATTGTCACGACCCATGTCCTCTGCTGTGTCCTGGCTGCCATGGCCTTCCAGCTGCAGTGAGCTGGCTTCCTCCCTCCACCAGTGCTGCATGGCCAGATCCTCCCTGCACTTCAAACCCTTCTGTGCCTCAGGCCCTTTGTATGTGCTGTTCCCTAGCTGAGAAGCAGCTCCATCCACTTTCCGTCTGCCTGAAAACCTTCTCAGAGAACCCTCCATGGGCTCCCACGCCTCCTCCATAGCATTCAGTCTCTTTGTACATCCATGTCCATGTGTGTGTGGTTCACCTGGTTCTCACACCAGCTCGACCTGCAGGAGGCTCAGTAGGTCCACTTAGGACCCAGACCCTGGAATAAGGAGGAGCTCTCTCTTGTTGAAGAGCATGTGATGTTAATTGTGTGGACAGGCCCCTGTCCCCTCTTCCCTGGAAGTCCCTGGGAGGAAGGAGGGCTCGGCAGGAGCCTATGGGAAGGACTCCTCCATCCCTACCCCAAGGTGGCTCCTGGTCACTGACTGGACGCTGGGGAGAGAGGATTC